AGAAATCATCCCCCCCTCAGGATGGCCACGCCTTAATCCCTTCTCCATTCTTCTCTTGGGTGCAGCGTGTTCCTCAAGCTGCCAAACTGCTGGATTGAACCTAACTACGCAGTCGACCCAGTAAGATCCAGCCGCCTTTACCACACCACCACGGGGGGGGGGGCGGGGGCTGGCCCCTGGCTCCTGCATCTTATTTTCCTAATAGAAGGCTGAAACTATCTCTTCATTCTCCTAGTCCTTCAGCACACCTCTTAACGTTACTAAAACGGGTCTTAACATTGTTCTTGGCTCTAGAACAACACCATTTAGAGCCTAGACATATGTGACTCATGTATGTAAGTTAAAAATCTAGTGGCCACATTTAAAAAGTAAACAGGTGAAATTAATTTTAGGTATGTGTTAAACCCAATTTACTCAAATAGAATTTCAACATGCAGTCAATATAAAAACACTGAAATCTCCTACATTCTTTTCTCATACAAGTCTTAAAAATCCACCGTGTATTTTACTTTTAACTGCACATCACAACTCCATATTTGCAGTGTGCAATAGCCATGTGTGGCTAGTGGTTCCTGTATTTAACACACAGCTCAGAAATCAAATGTAAACAACACTCGAGGTCTCTGTTCTCATGGGGTTTAATATTGGAAGGACACCGGAAAGTAAGCTGACAATGTAATTGCAAAACTTGCTAATTATTAGGAAACAAGTGGTTGACACAGAGAATACCAGGTATCTGTTTTAGATTGAATGGCTAACAAAGGTTTCTGATGAAGTAGCAAGCTGTCATCTAAAAGATATAAAGGGATTATCTTGGGAAGAATGAGAAGAACCTTCAGAGCTATAAGCACGCTCAGGCAAGTTGCCCTAGGGAGGGACAAAGGTCCAGTTGAAGAAAATAAAACTGGGGATGGAGCTGGGTTGGGATGGGGAGAGCTGTTAGGAAACAATTCAGATTAAATGCAAAGATAGGTCATCAGATGTACATTTTGGGGTCATTCTAGTGCTGAACATTTATCCTGGGCTGACCTCTATACTAAGTGCTAGGGAGTTGGGAAGGTGGGGGGACACACAGTTAAATGAACTACGGCATAGAACACCGACTATGACTTGGAATTTGAGAGATCTGACTTCGAATCCCACCTCAGCTCCTTATTAACTATAGGATCATGGGCAAATTACTGAAATGCTGAGTCTCAATTACCCCATCTGTGAAATGGAATTCTAACAATTACTAATAATTTAGGGCTATTGTGAATATTAGAAAACAACTAGCATGGTACCTAGACACAAGGCAGGCTTTAAATAAATGGTAGCCATCGTCAGACTCAGCATCTAAGATGCTGTTCTTTGGAGCCTGAGGTCACCTGTGAGTCTGGGGTTCAGTTCCCAGCTCAACCTAACAGGCTGGGTGTAGTGGCATATACCTGTAGTTCCAGCTAGCTGTGAGCCTGGGTCAGGAAGATCCTAACATACAAGACTATCAAAAGTCATGGGGGAACCAGCAGTTAGCGTAATGGTTATGTCGCTGGACTCCCACGTACTCGACCGCGGTTCGCGTCTCGGACCCGGTGGCTTAAATCTCACGCAGGGCGTATGTGCGTGTGTGCCCAAGATCCCGAGAGGAGAATGGAGGAGAAGGGATTGCGGTGTGACCATCCCCCCTGAAGGGTGATTTCTCGCTTTCTGTCTCTATGTCTCTGTCTGTCTGGCGAGCGCACACGCCCTATAGCGAAAACCTCTCCAAAAAAAAAAAAAAATCATGGGGACCAGCAGTTAGCATAATGGCCATGTCACTGGACTCCCATGTAGTCGACCGTGGTTCAAGTCCTGGACCCGGTGGCTTAAACTCATGCCAGGTATGTGTGCGTGCGTGCCCAAGATCCCGAGAGAAGAATGGAGGAGAAGGGATTGCGGTCTGGCCATCCCCCCTGGGGGGTGATTTCTCACTTTCTGTCTCTCTTTCTCTCTCTGTCTTTCTGGTGAATGCACGTACCCTATAGCAAAAACCCCTCCGAAGAAAAAGAAAAGGAAAAAATTAATCTCTGTCGAGGGCTAGCAGGTGCTGTGGTGGTTAAGGTACTGGACTCCCACATGCCCTGCCACATGGTTTGAGTCCCAGACCTGGCAACTTGAAAATCACACTGGGCGTGTATGTGCATGCCCAAAATCTCAGGAGAAGAATGAAGGAGAAGGGGTCGTGGCATAGCTATCCTCCTTAGGGGGCGATTTCTCACTTTCCCTCTCGCTGTCTCTGGCAAGCACATGTGCCCTGTAGCAAAAGCCTTTAACAAAGAGGGGAAATTTCATCTCTCTCTTGCTTACTCTCATAAATAAATAAGCCTGTTATTAATCAATCAGTAAACTGACTTTAAAGTCTAGTAGCCAGCTAAACAGTCTTTTAGTCCATGTGGGAGTTGGCTTCCTCTGCACAGTGCCTGACCACTGTACTATAGGGCCAGCCAAGCCCTACTAATTTATGAGATCTGGTCTGAACCTTCAGGAATTATTTTCTAAATCAACTTAATCTTATTTCGAATATGCCATTATCCTGCATTTCTTTCAGAATTTATAACTTCAGTACAAAAAATCAGTATTTTTGTGCTATTGAAATGTGGCTTTGCTCTCAAATAATTGTTTTGTTTCTTTCAGTTGGTTACAAGGAGGTACATACACATTCTTTATTTCCCTTCCTCCTCCCCTCTCCAAATGTTTTATATAATACTCTACTCATTTGTTTATTCAGTGAGCAATTGGAGGGTAGCACTATATTTAACAAGCACTATTCATTTGAGTGCTTTATATATCACATGTGATCACTGATGACTGGTATCACTTTAAATTCGTGTCCACAAATCTCTTGGGTGCCCAGCATTGCCTGAGCTTCCACAACAAGTTTACTCTCCCACACGCCAGATGCCTGTCATATCTTCTCTTCTCCACAAAACTCCAATATTACTTCCCTCCCACTCCAATTGATAGTCTCGGCTCATTCTTCATTGAGAAAACAGAAGCGAGTGAGAACCTCCTCATCCTCTCAACATCACATCTACCAACCTACAAATACTTTCTGCCTTTACTCCTTCCATTGAAAGAAACATTCCTGTTCCAATTAAAATCCAACTCTTGTGTGCATTGGATCTCATCCTCTTTCACTTTCTCAAAGTCTGTGTTCCAGTTGTTATCCCTTTTCCTATATCATATTTATCCTTTCTAGTGGATCATTTCCAAAAATGACCAAATATCTCCTGTCTTAAGAAACACCCTCACTTGAGTTCAGGTTCCTCTTTGGCTACTTCTTTCCTGTAATTGGTTCCACCTCCTTCCTATGTATGCTCTCCTTCATGGCATGACTTCTTGAAAGAATTGTTTGTGCTCTCTTACTCTATTTTCTCATTACCCATTTACTCCAATCTACTAGAATCAGGTTTTCCAGCCCTCCTTTCTCACTGAGATCATTATTAGGTTGCTAGTGACTTCCATCTTGATGACACCAGTGATCCCCACACTTCATCTTGCTTGAACCTCTTAGGGGTACCCAACACATTAAGCACTCCCCTTCTTTAAAGATACCCTGCAGGCCCAGCCATAATGACACACAGGTAGCCTCACTACTTGGAAGTCTGGAACCCACATAAAAGGTCCAAGTTCAGATCCTGAGTCAACTTGAACATGCTGAGAGTGGTTATACTTGCCTATAATCTCAGCCAATTAGGCGATTGGAATAGAAGGATTGTGACACGATGAGACTCTGTCAAAACGCCTCTCAGTCTCCTTCTCTTTCTCATTCATTCTGTCCTTTCCTCTCTCTCTCTCAGAACCTCATATGGGCCAGCTAGTGGCATGGTGGTTGGGCAGCTGGATCCCACATGACTGACTGTACAGTTTGAGTCCTGGACCCAATGGGTTGAGAAATATGCCAGACACATGTGCGTGCATGCCCAAAATCTCAACAGCAGAAGAGACTATATAGCATGACTGTCCCCCATAGGCATCCTCATTTTCTCTCTCTCTCTCTCTCTCTCTTTAGCAAGTGCTTGTACCTTTGCAACTTCTGGCAAATTGAAAACGCGCACGCGTACACACACACACACACACACACACACACACACAAATTGCAATTGACTTCATTTCCTTTGCTGGTTCTTCTTCCTCTGTTCCACTTTTTTTTTTTTATTAAAAAAATTTTTTTAGAAGTATTTTAACTTTATTAATTTATTTATTTTAATTTGACCAGAGAGAGAGAAAGTGAGAAAGCAAGCCACCAGGTCCGAGACTTGAACCATGGTCCCTTA